CATGTTCCAGGTCACTAGATAACATTTCAGTTTAATCACAGCAATTCTCATATGATGATGATGCGGACACCGAGAACTATCTCAAACATGGCGCAGCTAGTGAGCAACGCCGAATATTACAGTATACATCGATCTCTTAGATGTACCACGTCACGAGTTAATATGTCAGTTTCGTGACAGGAATGCGCGTCTGACGATGACGAGGTCAGGAACAACTGACTCAATCATGATGCAGCTGGTGAAGAATACCTACCAGCAGACGATTCATTTGTCTCTTAGGTGTTAAATGTCACTGGGTGACATTTCACTTTCATCACAGCAATGCTCATCTGACGGTGACGACGGTACGAACAACGGACTCAAGCATGATGCAGTTGCTGAAGAATACCTACCGCAGACTGTTCATTTGTCCCTTACTTGTTGCATGTCACTAGGTGCAATTTGAGCTTCGTCGCAACAATGCTCATCTGACGACGAGGAGGTGAAGATCAACGCACTGAATGATGATGCAGATAGTGAGGAATGCCAAGCAGCGGACTTGTCATCTATCTTTTGCTTGTTCGATATCACCAGGCGAAATTTCAGTTTCGTCACACGAATGCTCATCTGACGGTGACGAGGGCACGAACAACTGACTCAAGCATGATGCAGTTGTTGGGGAATGCCGAATACTACACTCCACATCTATCTCTTAAATGTCCTATGTCACTAGATGGCACTTCACTTTCATCAGAGCATACTCGTCTGACGATGAATAGGTCACCCACAACTAACTGAATCATGATGCAACTAGTGAAGAGTGCAAACCAGCAGAGGATTCATCTATCTCTTAGATGTTGCATGGGACTAGATTACATTTCAGTTTCGTCAGAGGAATGCTCATCTGACGATGACGAGGTCACTCGGAACTAACTCGATCGTGATGCAGCTGGTGACTGGTGCCAATCAGCAGACTATTCATCGGTCTGTTAAGTGTTCCATGTCACCAAATTATATTTCAGGTTCGTCACAGCAATGCTGATCTGATGATGGCGAGGTGACGAACTACTGACTCAATGATGATGCAGTTAGTGAAGAATGCAAACCAGCAGGCTGTTTATCTATCTCTTAGATGTTCCATGTCGCTAGGTGAGATTTTAGTTTCTTCGCAGCAATGCTCACCTCAAGGTGATTGGATCACGAAGAACTGGCTCAATCATGATGCAGCTTTTTAATTATGCCAAACAGCAGACTATGCATCCATGTGTTACATGTTCCATGTCACTAATTGACATTTCAGCTTCGTGAGAGCAGTGCTGATCTGACGATGACGAGGTCACCAACAACTGACTCACTCACGATGCCGTTGGTGAAGAATGGCAACCAACAGCAGGCTATTCATCCATCTCTTAGATGTTGCGTGTCACTAAATGACAGGTCAGTTTCGTCACGCCAATGCTCATCTGACGATGATGAGGTCATCAACAACTGACTCAACTATGATGGAGGTAGTGAATTATGCCAAGCAGGAGGCTATGCATCCATCTCTTAGATATTGCATGTCACTAAATGACAGTTCAGTTGCGTCACGCCAATGCTCATGTGACGAAGGCGGGGCCATCTCTCACTGGCGGAGTCATGACGCAGCTTGTGAAGAACGCCAAATAGCGGTTTATTCATCTGTTTCTTAGATGTTGGATGTCATTAGATGGCGTTTCACGGTCTTCACAGCAATGCTTATGTGCCGTTGACGAGGTCGCCGACAATTGACTCAATCATGTGGCAGCTGCTGAAGAATGCCAAGTAGCAGACTATTCATTTGTCTCTTAGATGTTAAATGTCACTGGATGACATTTCGCTTTCATCACAACAATGCTCATCTGACGGTGACGAGGGTACGAACAACTGACTCAAGCATGATGCAGCTGCTGAAGAATACCTAGCAGCAGACTATTCATTTGTCTCTTACTTGTTGCATGCCACTAGATGCCATTTCAGTTTCGTCACGCCAGTGCTCATCTAACGATGACGAGGTCACCAACGAGTGACTCAATCTTGATGCTGCTAGTGGAGGGGTCCAACGATCAGACTGTTCAGCTATGTCTTAGATGTTCCATGTCGCTAGATGACTTTTCAGTTTCGGCATAGCAATGGTCACGGCACGACAGGGTGGTTGTTGTCTGAATAATGAAATTTGGCGCGGGTGCTGTATGATGTTTATCTAATAGTTTTAAATAAATACAGGCTGTCGTTGTGGTTTTCGTGACTTTCATGATTTTAAATGCTGTTCCGGGAGGAAGTAGGACTTCTTCTTCGTCATATTGGGAAAGTTTCGATATGTCTAAGCCGCGGTCTGCTGTCGCGTCGATAATGAATAAGGTATTGCCGAAATTTTGTGCTTTTTGACGGTTTTTGCTAGTTGAGGTAAAGCCGTTCCAGCATCTGTCGTGGCCGGTGACTTCCTCATACGATTTTAGTGTGTTTTGATTGATGGTTGCACCACGATATAGTTCCGATGAGTTTGTCGTGTCGGAGGTTAGGCAGCTCCTGAATAGAATGTAGCAAAATGGTCCCAAGGTATTTATTTTGCTTGTGTCGGTTTCTCTCAGTGCTTTATTTATTGATTTATATAGAAAGCATTCGAGTGTGTATAGGTAAATGCAACGCTCATAAATTTCTTCTCTCCTTTTGTTTTTCACCGCTATTAGTTGGCGAGCTATATATTGTGACTCACAATGTTCACCTAGTTGCTCTCCTTCTATAATTATTCCATTCGCTGCCTGCTCTACTATTTCAGCACCAGAAAGTTGATGCCCTTTCTTCCACTCTGAAAGAAAAATGTAAGCTTCTTTGCCAGAGTCATCATTGAACATTTTACTCAATGCTGGTGTGAGAAAGAATCTTTCTTGTCTTAAACCTTGACTTTCATTTCTGCTAATTAGAACCCGTTTTATTTGCCGTTGTTTATTTGGATCCGATTTACTGATTTGAATGGAATCGTTTAAGTTAATCGAATAATTCTGCAGTTCAGCTAGTTTTGTTTTATTCCTTTGATTAAATGCTTCTTCGATAATCGCTGATTCGATATCAGAATATTTTGTCCATTCTTCATTTTCATTTGTTGACCATGGGTCAGAATTTGATTTCCAATACTATTGAGCTCGTGGTTGATCAGCTCCCGTTATCGCCTGACTTTCCATTGATTAGACTGTTTGGAACTGATAGGTCCTAGAAACGTCCGTAGATCTATAAAAGACATGAGACAAGTAGCAGAATATTCTGTAATGAAAGAACACCTATTCAGCTTTTCAAGATCAACTCTGATTATGTTTACATTCTATTCATTAGTGAAACTGACACTGGTTTTTGCAGTTTAGTACATAGCAAAAGTGAAACGAAATGCATCTGGAACAGAGAACAAAAGGTTTCGACCAAGGCATCTTCTCTATGGTTTAGATAGTACCCAGGCCAATGATTCCGAAGACGAGTTCCTGACAGATCCGACTTCGGAACATGCCGGAATTCGATAAAATCTGGCACAATCGTACTGGCACATTGTCGCATTATGTCAGAATACCGCAGTCACAGCGGTCGGTGTTGTTTGCAAAGTTCTTGATCCTTCCTATGCAACAAGTAAAGACATCAAATGACTGCTAGATTAGCGCTCAAATTTTCGCTTTTAATCTTATTTGGATGCGCCTGAATCTATTTGAGAGAGATCCTTCCAGTCATGAACAAACAAGACAAGCTGATATGTGATTATTCAACCGCGTCATGATGAACGCAGTTAGAAAATATCGACGTTGTATGAGAAAAATGTCTTAGTGCCGTATTGAATTGAAACATGAAATACCTTTCACTGTAATCGAATGATTATTTTATTCGTTTAAACGCACGTTAGTCAGGCACCTTAACTCACTCTGTTTCTTATTCCGATGAAAGTGAAACAAAAGCAAAAATGGTATGTTATCTTTTCACTCGATCCCTCTATAAATTTAATTTTTGCATCTATTTACACAAGTCGAATAGAGACGATATTCTCAATGACGTTTTATTCTATTATTTTGTTTTTAAACTAGTTTCTGCCCAAAGATAATTATTGAGAATTCAAAGAGAGAAAACTTTGATAACAGGCATCTAGCAAAATTGCAGTTATCTCTTCTCGCACTTCCACGACGTATTTTATACGTGTATTTATCTATCAATAATACTGGCAATAATTAATGTTTATGTCGACAGACATTATGTGTTCACGATGCTAATAGTGAAGAATGACAATAATTACACTATTCACCTCTCTCCTAAATGTTCCATGGCACCAAATGACATTTCACTTTCATCACACCAATGTTCGTCTGACGCCGACCAGGTCATGAATAACTGGGTCAACCATGATGCTGCTACTGAAGAATCTCAAAGATTATATGAATCTTCTCTCTTCTAACTATTCCATGGCACCAGATGACATTTCACTTCCATCACACCAATGCTCATCTGACGCCGACGAGCTCACCGACAGCTGGATCAACGATGTTGCAGTTAGTGAATAATGACAATCACTATACGATTCTTCTCTCTCCTAAATGTTCCATGGCACCAGATGACATTTCACTTCCATTATCCACACTCCTTCCTCTGATACAACTCAAGCGCTAGATTTTATTAAATACCGGTTAAACATAGCTATTGGACAAACAAACATTTAACATTTTGGATTGTTACAGCTCATGAACTTATAACTGAGATATCATATGATGAACTTAATCGTAGAAACATTACTGATCAATCAACAATATCCATTAGTATATTTAATCGTAAAAATGAAGAAACTCATATGAATTTAAAATGTGAAAATGTTCGTTTTACTTGGTATTAATTATTTATTGATACGTTAATTCGAATGCCAATTAATTTACAAAGAGATAAATATACACTTGTACAATTTTGTAAAGATATTTATAATGATATCAGAGCTGAACAATGCAAACCTGATGAATTTCAACAAACATACAATCCGTCTTATGCACTACAATGGTATACTCGTGATTGTTGGTTGTATGTATCGTTTATTGAATAAAGCGTTAAGAGTAAATGATATTCATACGTTATTTCGTTTTCAATTTTTTATTTCGGATCTTTATCAGCAATTGAAATGTATTCATCTTGAATACTATGATAATAAAATTGTACGAGTTTATCTTGGTCAGTCAATTTCTAAAATTGAATTAGATCATATAAAAACATCGATTGATGATCTGATATTAATACATAGTTTTTTTTAACAGCAACTAATCGTGAACTTAGTTTCATTCATGATGGTATTGATGTTAGTGCTGACAATGATTTAGTTAATATATTATTGAAAATAAATATTGATAAACATTTGAAATCATTGTCAAAACCATTTGCAGATATTTCAACGGAAAGTCATTTTCATGATGAACAAGAAGTTTTACTTTATATTGGAACAATATTTAAAATTAAAATGATTGAACAACAAAATGATAATTGGTTAATTGAATTAGGCGTATGTACAGACGATGACTATTTTGTCAATTTAAAAACAAAATAATAAATGATCAAAGTGATATCGGTAAGTTATTATTAAAAGTAGGCGAATATGACGAAGCAAAGGTATAATATCAACAATTATTAAATCATCAACAGCAAGGCTATCGTAAGTTTGGTCATGAAGAAGGAGAATTATTATTTGTTTACATTTTCACTGCTGATGACAGTATAAATGATAATGTAAATGCAAAGATCAAGCAGTATTTTTGAATTCATTTGTAAGATACATCACTCGACGCAGAATTTGGCGCTGCTCACGAATA